AAGAATGAATGCTATATAATGTTATAAGAATGAATGCTATATAATGTTTATAAGAATGAATGCTATATAATGTTATAAGAATGAATGCTGTATAATGTTTATAAGAATGAATGCTGTATAATGTTTATAAGAATGAATGCTGTATAATGTTTATAAGAATGAATGCTGTATAATGTTATAAGAATGAATGCTGTATAATGTTTATAAGAATGAATGCTGTATAATGTTATAAGAATGAATGCTGTATAATGTTTATAAGAATGAATGCTGTATAATGTTATAAGAATGAATGCTGTATAATGTTATAAGAATGAATGCTATATAATGTTATAAGAATGAATGCTGTATAATGTTATAAGAAGGAATGCTGTATAATGTTATAAGAATGAATGCTATATAATGTTATAAGAATGAATGCTGTATAATGTTATAAGAAGGAATGCTGTATAATGTTATAAGAATGAATGCTATATAATGTTATAAGAATGAATGCTGTATAATGTTTATAAGAATTAATGCTGTATAATGTTATAAGAATGAATGCTGTATAATGTTTATAAGAATGAATGCTGTATAATGTTTATAAGAATGAATGCTGTATAATGTTATAAGAATGAATGCTGTATAATGTTTATAAGAATGAATGCTATATAATGTTTATAAGAATGAATGCTATATAATGTTATAAGAATGAATGCTGTATAATGTTTATAAGAATTAATGCTGTATAATGTTTATAAGAATGAATGCTGTATAATGTTTATAAGAATGAATGCTGTATAATGTTTATAAGAATGAATGCTGTATAATGTTTATAAGAATGAATGCTATATAATGTTTATAAGAATTAATGCTGTATAATGTTTATAAGAATGAATGCTGTATAATGTTATAAGAATGAATGCTATATAATGTTATAAGAATGAATGCTGTATAATGTTTATAAGAATGAATGCTGTATAATGTTTATAAGAATGAATGCTGTATAATGTTTATAAGAATGAATGCTATATAATGTTTATAAGAATTAATGCTGTATAATGTTTATAAGAATGAATGCTGTATAATGTTATAAGAATGAATGCTATATAATGTTATAAGAATGAATGCTGTATAATGTTTATAAGAATTAATGCTGTATAATGTTTATAAGAATGAATGCTGTATAATGTTTATAAGAATGAATGCTATATAATGTTTATAAGAATGAATGCTGTATAATGTTTATAAGAATGAATGCTATATAATGTTTATAAGAATGAATGCTGTATAATGTTATAAGAATGAATGCTGTATAATGTTATAAGAATGAATGCTGTATAATGTTTATAAGAATGAATGCTGTATAATGTTTATAAGAATGAATGCTGTATAATGTTATAAGAATGAATGCTGTATAATGTTTATAAGAATGAATGCTGTATAATGTTATAAGAATGAATGCTGTATAATGTTTATAAGAATGAATGCTATATAATGTTATAAGAAGGAATGCTGTATAATGTTATAAGAAGGAATGCTGTATAATGTTATAAGAATGAATGCTATATAATGTTATAAGAATGAATGCTGTATAACGTTTATAAGAATGAATGCTGTATAATGTTTATAAGAATGAATGCTGTATAATGTTTATAAGAATGAATGCTATATAATGTTTATAAGAATGAATGCTGTATAATGTTTATAAGAATGAATGCTATATAATGTTTATAAGAATGAATGCTGTATAATGTTTATAAGAATGAATGCTGTATAATGTTTATAAGAATGAATGCTATATAATGTTTATAAGAATGAATGCTGTATAATGTTTATAAGAATGAATGCTGTATAATGTTTATAAGAATGAATGCTATATAATGTTTATAAGAATGAATGCTATATAATGTTTATAAGAATGAATGCTATATAATGTTTATAAGAATGAATGCTATATAATGTTTATAAGAATGAATGCTGTATAATGTTTATAAGAATGAATGCTATATAATGTTTATAAGAATGAATGCTGTATAATGTTTATAAGAATGAATGCTGTATAATGTTTATAAGAATGAATGCTGTATAATGTTTATAAGAATGAATGCTGTATAATGTTATAAGAATGAATGCTATATAATGTTATAAGAATGAATGCTGTATAATGTTTATAAGAATGAATGCTGTATAATGTTATAAGAATGAATGCTATATAATGTTATAAGAATGAATGCTGTATAATGTTTATAAGAATTAATGCTGTATAATGTTTATAAGAATGAATGCTATATAATGTTTATAAGAATGAATGCTATATAATGTTTATAAGAATGAATGCTGTATAATGTTTATAAGAATGAATGCTATATAATGTTTATAAGAATGAATGCTGTATAATGTTATAAGAATGAATGCTGTATAATGTTTATAAGAATGAATGCTATATAATGTTTATAAGAATTAATGCTGTATAATGTTTATAAGAATGAATGCTATATAATGTTTATAAGAATGAATGCTATATAATGTTATAAGAATGAATGCTGTATAATGTTTATAAGAATGAATGCTGTATAATGTTTATAAGAATGAATGCTGTATAATGTTTATAAGAATGAATGCTATATAATGTTTATAAGAATGAATGCTGTATAATGTATACAAGAATGAATGCTGTATAATGTTATAAGAATGAATGCTATATAATGTTTATAAGAATGAATGCTATATAATGTTTATAAGAATGAATGCTATATAATGTTTATAAGAATGAATGCTGTATAATGTTTATAAGAATGAATGCTGTATAATGTTTATAAGAATGAATGCTGTATAATGTTATAAGAATGAATGCTGTATAATGTTTATAAGAATGAATGCTATATAATGTTTATAAGAATGAATGCTATATAATGTTATAAGAATGAATGCTGTATAATGTTTATAAGAATGAATGCTATATAATGTTTATAAGAATGAATGCTATATAATGTTTATAAGAATGAATGCTGTATAATGTTATAAGAATGAATGCTGTATAATGTTTATAAGAATGAATGCTATATAATGTTTATAAGAATGAATGCTATATAATGTTTATAAGAATGAATGCTGTATAATGTTATAAGAATGAATGCTGTATAATGTTTATAAGAATGAATGCTGTATAATGTTATAAGAATGAATGCTGTATAATGTTTATAAGAATTAATGCTGTATAATGTTATAAGAATGAATGCTATATAATGTTTATAAGAATGAATGCTGTATAATGTTTATAAGAATGAATGCTGTATAATGTTTATAAGAATGAATGCTGTATAATGTTTATAAGAATGAATGCTATATAATGTTTATAAGAATGAATGCTATATAATGTTTATAAGAATGAATGCTGTATAATGTTTATAAGAATGAATGCTGTATAATGTATACAAGAATGAATGCTGTATAATGTTATAAGAATGAATGCTATATAATGTTTATAAGAATGAATGCTATATAATGTTTATAAGAATGAATGCTATATAATGTTTATAAGAATGAATGCTGTATAATGTTATAAGAATGAATGCTGTATAATGTTTATAAGAATGAATGCTGTATAAAGTTATAAGAATGAATGCTGTATAATGTTTATAAGAATGAATGCTATATAATGTTTATAAGAATGAATGCTATATAATGTTATAAGAATGAATGCTGTATAATGTTTATAAGAATGAATGCTATATAATGTTTATAAGAATGAATGCTATATAATGTTTATAAGAATGAATGCTGTATAATGTTATAAGAATGAATGCTGTATAATGTTTATAAGAATGAATGCTATATAATGTTTATAAGAATGAATGCTATATAATGTTTATAAGAATGAATGCTGTATAATGTTATAAGAATGAATGCTGTATAATGTTTATAAGAATGAATGCTATATAATGTTTATAAGAATGAATGCTATATAATGTTTATAAGAATGAATGCTATATAATGTTTATAAGAATGAATGCTGTATAATGTTATAAGAATGAATGCTGTATAATGTTATAAGAATGAATGCTGTATAATGTTATAAGAATGAATGCTGTATAATGTTTATAAGAATGAATGCTATATAATGTTTATAAGAATGAATGCTGTATAATGTTTATAAGAATGAATGCTGTATAATGTTATAAGAATGAATGCTGTATAATGTTTATAAGAATGAATGCTGTATAATGTTTATAAGAATGAATGCTATATAATGTTTATAAGAATGAATGCTATATAATGTTTATAAGAATGAATGCTATATAATGTTTATAAGAATGAATGCTATATAATGTTTATAAGAATGAATGCTGTATAATGTTTATAAGAATGAATGCTGTATAATGTTTATAAGAATGAATGCTGTATAATGTTTATAAGAATGAATGCTGTATAATGTTTATAAAAATGAATGCTATATAATGTTTATAAGAATGAATGCTGTATAATGTTTATAAGAATGAATGCTATATAATGTTTATAAGAATGAATGCTATATAATGTTTATAAGAATGAATGCTATATAATGTTTATAAGAATGAATGCTGTATAATGTATACAAGAATGAATGCTGTATAATGTTTATAAGAATGAATGCTATATAATGTTTATAAGAATTAATGCTGTATAATGTTATAAGAATGAATGCTATATAATGTTTATAAGAATGAATGCTGTATAATGTTTATAAGAATGAATGCTATATAATGTTTATAAGAATGAATGCTATATAATGTATACAAGAATGAATGCTGTATAATGTTTATAAGAATGAATGCTATATAATGTATACAAGAATGAATGCTGTATAATGTATACAAGAATGAATGCTGTATAATGTTTATAAGAATGAATGCTGTATAATGTTATAAGAATGAATGCTATATAATGTATACAAGAATGAATGCTGTATAATGTTTATAAGAATTAATGCTGTATAATGTTATAAGAATGAAAATTTTGTTCACATATATTTTCATTACCTGCAGTGATGTGCTCTTTCTGGTTTGATACTAACACACTTAGGACATTTAAAGACAACCTGACCAGCACGAAGTCCCATGCGTAAAATGTGCTCTCTTGTTGCATTCCCTTTTGGGACAGATCCCTAAAATAATGAAAAAAATATCAAAATGTATGTTAAATTGTATTGATATAATCATGATAATATAAAGTTTACCTAAACATGCCAAAGTAATAATTCATCATTGCTATAAACTTATCAAAATACAAACAATATTTTTGAGGTTGCTACACATATCGTGACATATCCTCCATCATCACTAAGAATGTATAACATGCATTATGCATAAACATATTACCAGATCACCTCATGCATGTCATGATGATAATTAGATGTATATCATTCATTTCAATTTCATAACTTATCATTGGAAACAACAGGCATTGCTGACCCTTCTGGAACACCTCAGTTAAAACTCCAGTTAGTTTGGTTTGTATTATATTGTTCAATTTTTAGCTTTCTTGCATATTAAATGTTTTTCCTGTAGTTTGTTTGGATAAACTTCCTTTGTTCTTCTGGTGAAGACTTTTAAGTTGTGAAGCTAATTTTCAACTGTGAATAGTGCTTAATATGTAAATTTTTATTGTTTGGAAAAGTTGAAAGTAATTTATAATGTGTGTATACTTACTGGGTCTGACCACATTGTTTTCATATGTGAACTTATTGCCATGAAAGCAAAGAATTGAAAGATGACTGCATTTATAAAACTCCATGTAGTATATGGATTGTGCCATAGCATCACATATAAAACAACATATTCTGCATACAATATCAACATCCATGTAAACACACAACAGATTATGCCACATATGTCCTTCACACACCACAAATATTGACAGGTCACAATCCAGGACAACCCTGTTTTCCGGAGGAATGGTCCACAGTTAATAGTCTTGACCCCATCTTCAACAGGACCTTTGTGTCTGGACCTCAATGTTTTTACCACTGGTCCATCAGGAAATTCTCTGCAGAATTAAACACATACTTTTTCAATTCTAAAAGTAAATTTACCAATTATTTATCTTTTCTGATCATTTATTAACATGCATTTCTGAATCAGATGTAAGAAAAAGACTTGTGATACTGTAGCATGATCTCATGAATTAAATCGTGCCAATAGGAAAAACAACAGACAGATGCTGCAGCTTAGTTCCCTTTTTAGATTTTTCATATATTGAACTTTCATCTTAGATCTAAGAGTATTTCTATCTTAATAAATCAATGTTTTGTAATTACTCTGGACTAAAAATTAACACAACTGTACTTAAAACAATTTAACATTTTAACAAAGAATATATATACATGTACATGTACATGTACAACAAAAAAAGTAATAGTAAACATGGTAAAGATTTTTCAGCATAAAAATAAGGAAATTTGGTACAATTCACTATCCATCAGAGACCAAAGGGCGAGGATGAAAACACCCGATTACCTATTCCAAAAATTTGATGGCATTCATTTAGACAATTTTTTTTTTATCATGTTTCAGTGTTCTAGAATTCCCCTTTCCCGTCCGCTGTGGCAAGTTTATTTAGGTCACGGGAAAATGAAAATTCAAACCTTTGTTGTCCCTGGGCAAGTAAAATTAAATTACAGAAACTTCCTATTCATACAGATAAAACGATCGATGTAACCGTTTGTATTCTTTTATTTCAAAGTCTCAAAGCGAGATAGTTGTTGTTGGTGGAAATCATGCATGGGTTCTAGTATATGGGAGAAAAACGTGTGCATGTGTTTCGCGATCACCGTCATAAATATGCTCTTCAGCTAAGCAAGGAAAATCCGTGATGTCAAGTATCCATCTGATCTAGACGCTAAAAACCTAATAAAGGGAACGCAAACGGTAAAAGATTTAATATCCGGATCTCAAATTCGTGATTTTTTACTAAGATTAATATATTTCAAAATAAAATTAATATATTCCATCAAATGTTTAGTATATCTAGATCATGTAGATGAACATGAGATTGAATTATCAACACAATCACAAGCTAGTTAGACAAACTAATTAATTTCAAAAGAAATAACAGAGTTGATAATTTCAAATTGAACTACATGTTATGATGATGTATAAACATGCATTAAAAGGAATAACAAAATTATGAAAACATTTTTAAAATAGTATAAAATTCAGGGAAAGCTCATTAAACATGTTAAACTTGAGGGAAAGTGAATTTTTTATATCAACTTTTCCCTTGGAAAGTTGCATATGTATAAAAATCCTAGAACACTGATGTTTATTCATGTACCATTTCTATTGTAAACGTTTCAGTCCTCTTCAGAAAAATCTGATTTTGACACAACTTTCAGCACTCTTAAGGTCAGAGTTGAACGCACCTGCCAGGTGCAGGGACCAATAACATTTGAAAGTTAATCAGGTACAGTAGCACCTGCCTCATTATTCTGTATTAATCCTTAATGTTGTGCAAGGACTTTTAGAAAAATGTCCTCAAACTAAATTTTCTGAAATAATATGACAACTTATATATGTCATACATGTCATAGTGGAGTTACTTTTTTTAATTTAAAGGATCCTAGAAATGTAGAATATATATGTAATTATAATAAGTATTCAAGTACTTAGGAGTAAAAGTTTGTAATTATACATGTACCTTAGTTTATTGGAAAACTTTCATTGTCATATTCTAATAACAGTGTTCACCACAGAATGAAAATCAAGGGGGATGGTTATATTCATTTGCATCAATCCCTCCTTAAAATTAATAGGGGCATAAAGTTCATAATTTACTTTGAGAGACATTTGTGTGGTCAGATACATAAAAACATGAACAAACGTGTATTTTCATTTTCTTTTCCAGCATGTCCAGTATTTCATAAGCATGATAAGTATACAAATAAAGATTAAAACAAAACAGTTGTTTTTCTTCAAACGATACAGTACATAAATGTATGTTTTTGATTTGTTTGTTATGTCTCAAAACAGGGACTAATATATACATGATATATAATGAATCTATTGGCATGATTGGTCGATGATCATATCCTTCTAATTAATTTATGGTCTGTAAATGCCATAAAAAGAAAATGTTTTAAAATCAAAATTAGAGAATAGAGAAATATGGGCAAAAATAAAAAGAAGAGAGAATACATGTACAATGTAATAGATCTAGACCTGTGCTAAAATATACAGAATATTTAGAGAAAATTTATATATAAACATGATAAAAAAAATAATACAGAAAATGATACAAGACCCCTCCCCCATCCCCCTACCTAGACCCTCTTAACTATGCACCATATAAACTCAAAATACCTATTAAACTTAAAAGTCCTAAATTCAGAAGTATGACATGCATGAAAGTCAGAAGTAAGATGTATGAAGACATATCTTGAGAATGTATTTCAATACTAGGAAAAATTATATTATTTTATTATCAAAAGTTGGGGACCAGGCAAAATAAAGACAAAACAACAGAATTAAAGTAATACATTGTATTTTAAAATGTTCATTTCGGTTTTCCTATTTCTGTCAATTGCATTTTCATCATGAAACTATGGTAAACTTTGCAATTTTGAGGTTGCATGTCGAAATAACAAATGGCGACTGACCTTTGCCAGTATGCTATTTGTATGAACTAATATCGGATAAGCAGATTACCTGCAACAACAAATTGTGACACCTGTTGTTGTAACAAAAAATTTGTTCCGGCTTGGTATCTAAATGGACGATCTTCCCATGGCCAGGTTGGAAATGAAGCCTTGCGAAGTGGTAGGAACCATGGGAAGATCGTCCATTTAGACACCAAGCCTTTAGAACAATGTCATGTATCATATAAAAGTAAAACGAACTCAATTTACATTGTAAACAAACTTTATTTTTCTATATTTATCTTATCTATTTATAACTCTTTATTGCTACTTTCACTTTTCATTGTTTCTCTCACCTTGACAACGTCAAATTCAATGTACCACTTTGAGTACTTCAGTAATTAATTTCTGTATGAAAATTGTCCTGATGACGCCTGTCTTGCAGGCGAAACATGTAGATCATAGCAAATAAAATTGCAGACCATTTGAAGTGTTGTTGTCAATTTAGAGTATTATTTAAATGTTGCATTCATTTGCATAATTTGACAACCCTGCATACCAAGGTATCCACTTCAGGGACTCTATTGAAATGATTCACACAGGCGTTGGTTCACCAAATGGAGTTTAAATGTGAAATAAGTTCCAGAACAAAAATCACAGCTCCATGAATTTTGTTCCAATATTAAAAGTTTAAAAAAAGTGAAATAAGTTCCTGTGATATTAGTTTTTAACGAACATATTTCATAGAAATCAATGAATATAAGTTCCGCTCAAACCTATTTCATAGAAAATAAGTACCTTTGCAACATATTGCACAGTTAAATATTTTCTTGTTACACTTAAACTATAATGCAAGCTGGATGCTGTACTGTGCTTGCATGGGGTACATTTGCAATTGAAGGCATGACTGTAACTACAAATGTATATGATGACGATAAGAAATAAAAGCGATGGTAATGTATCATAATTTGTATTTATGTTTTATATGGTATTCCTCCTTGTTTCCTGTTAACTGTCAAACATGTACTTACGTCATGGCACAGATTCAAAAGAGTGTGTCTTTTGTTTCTTTATGTCTTTTAAAATAATTGATCAGTCACTTTGGCCTTTTCAAATTAGTACACATGTTCATCTTTAACTATACTTTCAGTCTTCACGATAAACTTTTAAATCTAACAGGCCAGAGCCCAATTTTTGGAAAATTTTAGTTAGATTCTGTTGGCCTGTATAGATGATTTTTACTGGCCTGAAAGACATTTTACAAGCCTGGGCTGCTGGGCCTGTGGTTAAGCGTGAAGACTGTACTTTTTTCGGAATGATTTTTTTTATTCTACTCTTTTCTGGCTCATAAGTGTCATTTTAGTATTTTTATATAGTATTTTATTTAACATACTACATACTCCACAGGATCCAAATTTGATGTTTACACTTTTATTTTATTACATTATCAATATAATACATGTTTTTATAATGTAATTTAATGATAAATTGAACCTCACTGATGACAAATTCTCAGTATATAAGATAACTTGTTTAACCAGTGGAACATATTTCACAGACAAGGAACTTATTTCACCAGGTGGGGAACAAATCTCACAAACCCAGAACTTATTTCACCAGGTAAGGAACAAATCTCACGAACCCGGAACTTATTTCGCTAGGTAAGGAACAAATTTCACAAACCCAGAACTTATTTCACCAGGTAAAGTGTGGAACTTATTTTATAGAGATGGAACAATTTTAATTATATAGAAATTATCTGTGAAAAAAATTCTCCCAGAACATATTTCCTGTGATATTAGTTCCACTGGAACTTTTTTCACAGGAAACAATTTTGGCTCACATATCAAGTATTAGTTCCAGATGTCCATATCATGGTGTTGCCAACAAGGAAAATACAAAAATGTATATATGTCCCAAGTGCAGCCATATCATGCATATGGGTTTAAGGTCCCTGTTTGATTCAGAAATAAACATATTTGAGTTGATTAACTTTAAACATGTTATGGCTGTGCTCAAACTTGACTATCTACAAGCATTTGCGAAAAAGTTATTTTCTTACAAGAATTTCTACTCTTAATTATCATTGTTTCAGCTAGTGGAAACTGTCTTCAAGTTCAAATTATGAGGAAATTCAAATTCAGGTGTACATGTTTTTTTACACCTGATTTTCTCTTAAGTATGTTTTTTCTGTTTGTTTCGAGTAAAAGAGTGTACTTTACTACGAAGAGCTTTGCTTAAAATGCTTACAAAGGGTCGTCCATTCTGTAAAAAAGGAATTCTTGAAGTGAAATTTGTTTGGGATCACCAGGCACAGGGGGCCGACATTTTTCAAATGTTGATGACGTTCTTCGCATTCTTCACACTTCCGGTTTATTTATTCTCACCATGCTTCCCTGTTGATACTTATTTTCCATACCATCATGGTTGATGCTTTGTTGAGTGATGCTGAAAAAGTGTTTATCATACATGGCATTCAGGTTTTAATCCTATTGAGTTTTATTCACTGTTCAATTGCTCTCGCTTATGCAATATAGCTGTCTTACTTCGGAATCCGGGTCCGTTCGCGCCCAATCACGTTCGCCCCCATGCACGTTCGCCCCCCTTTCACTTTCGCACCCTACACGTTCGCGCCCAATTTTTGTTGGTTTTGTGTTTAATAATTTGTAAACGAGTTTTGGTAAGAGTATTGCTATAAATATATATCTTTTCATTGTTTCTAAATAAAGTGAGATTCTGACAAGGTTTTTTTTGTCATGGTAAATATATTGCTATAAACTTTTTTTTTTTCATTGTTTCTAAATAAAGTGAGATTCTGACAAGGTTTTTTTTGTCATGGTAAATATATTGCTATAAACTTTTTTTTTTTTCATTGTTTTTAAATAAAGTGAGATTCTGACGACCAGTATTTTATTTTTGTGTTGAATAATTTTTAATCATGTTTAGGTAAGTGTATTGCTCTATATATATAAACAAGTCTAAATTGAAAACAACGTTCAAACCTATGATTGCGTTGGATAAAAACCGCAATTTTTATACTTGTGCATGCAAAACAAATTTCTTGTTAGAGGGGTCTAAATACAGCACAAACAACATTTTCCAAAAGACCAAAAGAGCAAAAAAGTATATTTTAACAAAACGCATTTGACTAACAGGTCGAACAACAAATGTTCTTAAACCCTGCTGACTGCCATTGGCGATATATATATATAAAAAAAAATTTTCATTGTTTCTAAATAAAGCGAGATTCTGACAATGTCTTTTACATTTAATAATTAATCATCAAATCAATTTAAAAACAATATTTCATTTAAAAATTCCCGAATTTTTACTTATGAAAAATATTTTGATATAAACATCTACTAAACATCTAAAAATTTATCAGGTTTTTGAATAAAAAAAAAGGTGCGAACGTGTAGGGTGCAAACGGACCTAGGGGGCGAACGTGTGGGGTGCGAACGTGTAGGGTGCGAACGTGTATTGGGCGCGAACGGACCCGATACCCTTACTTCGTATGTCTAATGGGGGGGGGGGGGGGCTCGGTGGTCGAGTGGTCTAAGACAGTATTAGTCTAAGTAGTTACTACTGTAATCACTAGCCAGTTAACGCCAATGTTGTTAACTGGCTCATGTATGTGTTGTTATTGTTATTAATGTCGGCAAAAAGCTATACAGAGAATTTTCTATTCTATTCTATTCTATTCTATTCTTTGTAAATTGTATGAAAACACCCCAGATCACTTACTCAAGTTACTGCCTGCATTTGTATACTATTTATAAAACATACTTAATATAATATGAGGCAGGTGCTACCTGTTCAGCTCCAAAGGGAAAGGTTACTGTTTATACATGATCCATCAGGGGTTCAAATTAGCGGTGGTCCGAGGTCCGCGACCTTCCATTTTTGCAGTCAGACTTTCGTTTTGGTTACAAGCTACGCCCGACGGACCTTCGGTTTGAAAGAAAATAAGAATAAACTTTGCTGACCTTTTTAAACAAAAATTTCCAAACAATCTCAAAATTTATTTTCATCATTATTATTCATGACAGCGATGTTCATTTTGTTCAACCGCTAGCTTTATACCGAAAATTGCCAACTAGTAATGTGTAAATTTGAGTAAAATCGTATCTGACTGACAAAACAACATTGATAAACCAGAAATGAAGAAAACAACAAAAAACGGATCCTATTCCGGAGCGGATAAGGGTAATTCCGGGTTTGCCGGTCAAATACAATGAAAAAATAATAATTCCAGGCAGTTGACAAAATACATCTATGATGATAAAATATAAACACTAGAATTGGAAACCAAAAGATATATTGAAAAGAAAGAAAAAGTAGTAAATATTTTTTTACAGAAACTCAAAATTACTTTTAGTTCATAAATTTTCATCTCAAAATCAAAAAAAATGTGACAGTAATTTTCTTTATCATCAATAAATATTGATATTACATGTAGATTTTTGTATAGTGTAAACATATAACATTGTACTACAATTCCAAGAGGTAATGTCTTCTCAATTTTAAAGGACCATTACAAATTATTAATGGAATTATTATTTTTATACGACCGCAAAAATTAAAATTTTTTTGGTCGTATATTGGTATCACGTTGTCGTTGTCGTCGTCAGCGTCGTCCGAAAACAGATGGTTTCCGGATAATAACTTTAGTATAAGTAAATGGAAATCAATAAAATTTTAACACAAGGTTTATAACCACTAAAGGAAGGTTGAGATTGATTTTGAGGGTTATAGTCCCAATTGTTTAGGAATTAGGGGCCAAAAAAGGGGCCCAAATAAGCATTTTTGTAGTTTCCAGACAATAACTTGTGTTAAAGTGTATGAATCTCTCTGAAATTATACCACAAACTTCCATACAACAAAGGGATGGTTAGGATTGACTTTGAGGGGTTATGGCTCAAACCATTTAGTAATTGGGGGCAAAAAAATGTGAAAAACAAGGGTTTTTCTGGTTAAAGGACAATTGAGACAATTTAAAAGCAGTGTAAGGGAGGTAATCCAATTCAAATTAAAGAACACTGTTTGATTACCTCACTTACACTGCTTGTAAATTATGTATTAAGAAATGATGATTGTCTTGAGGTGATTAGCTGTCAATTTATTTTTAGCAGTTACTATTAATTAATATTAATTTTAGCCATGACTATGTATGTCATTTTATATTTTAAAACTTTTATGATGTATTTAAATGGGTAATTTTGGTTGCAAACTGCATTAGAAATTTGAATTGAGATACTGACCATATCTTGAGGGAAAGATTTTTTTTGGGGAATAAGGGAAAGGGGGGAGGTGAAAAAAATTGGAGGGAGGACAATTTTTCTCATTTCAGATTTCAGAAATTAAAAGAAAATTTCTTCAAATATTTTTTTTTGGGGGGGTTAATATTCAACAGCATAGTGTATTGCACCGGGGTAAAATAAAAAATTTTTGGTAGGGGGGGTCAATTCGCAACAGCATAGTGTATTGCACAAAAGCAATAAATTGAATATAAATTCAAATCATATAACCAATTTGAAGTTCTTTGACTACAGTTATTCTGTGTCAGAAACCTATTAAGTGTCAAAAATTTAGTTACAATCCAAATTCAGACCTGTATCAAGTGTGAATATTGTGTCCATTTTGGCCCAACTTTTCAGGGTTGGACATCTACGGTGGTAATCCAGCTGCGCTCAGCGAAGCTATTTATTTCATTGTATTTGACCGGCAAACCTGGAATTACCCTTATCCGCTCCGGAATCGGATCCGTTTTTTTATGTTTTCTTCATTTCCGGTTTATGGCATCCAATGTTTTTCAATGTTGTTTTGTCAGACAGATACGATTTTACTCGGATTTACACATTACTAGTTGGCAATTTTCGGTATAAAGCTAGCGGTTGAACAAAATGAACATCGCTGTCATGAATAATAATGATGAAAATAAATTTTGAGATTGTTTGGAAATTTTTGTTTAAAAAGGTCGGCAAAGTTTATTTTTATTTTTTCTTTCAAACCGAAGGTCCGTCGGGCGTAGCTTGTAACCAAAACGAGAGTCCGACTGCAAAAATGGAAGGAGGGGACCACCGCTTATTTGAACCCCTGAAAGTCATGAAAAATTGCTGATTAATGTTGACTAATAACAGTCAGGGATATATAAACTCTATAGGGTTATTACAGAAAAATAACATACATATGTTATTGTGGACTAAAAAATCAAAGAACTGTGATAACATATGTATGTTACATGTTACAAAGGGACAATGTACATCATTAGTTTAGTTAAAATGTATAAAAGTTCTATTGATATTACTTTTGTCTATATGTATACTTAACTATTGAAAGATATAACAGTTCATAGTTTGCCAATTTTGCATAGTACACCTATATGTTATTACAGAAAAAATATGCCTGTAATAACTAAAGGGTGTTATCACAGCTTCTCTATATCACTTCAAAGCATTTACTCAGACATACATCATGTTTAATTACAATGTATTTTAATTTATTGTAAGAAATAATGACCAGAGCATGTAATGAGGTTCTGTGCAAGTTTCTCAGTAATTCCCAAGTGTCTTATATAATAAGTTACATTCCTTTAATGACCTAGCCTTGTTATCACAGCTAAGTTTATCCCTTAATAGCCTCGTCTCATTGATTTACCATGGTTAATCAAAAATGAATTAATTTAATTAAAAAAATTAGTTATCAAGGCTATGCATTTAGTTTCTGCACAAAGTCTCAAGAGTTCCCTAGAGCCCACTATAAATGAAATAATTTTACAAATAACAAACATATGTTATTACAGATTTAGAAAATTTAAGGAATAAAGAGTAGACAACTCATGAAAGTATCTGTAATAACACAAGCAAGTTATTTTCTGTAATAACCCTATAGAGTTATATCTTTGACTGAATAATTGCACCAACTTCTGTAATGTATAATTATGCATATCCAATATTCTTGATAACTTCTAATAAACACGATAAAATCATAATCAACATAAATGCTATATACTGCAAAATCATCCCTACTCATTAAAGGTGATGAAATGATTTTAATATAAATATTTTACAATAAAAAATGAAATCTTAAGATAAATATTTAAAACAATATATTCGAATAAATGTCTGCTCAAATGAAAATTAGATCTTTGAATATGCATCAAAGGCACAATTTTGTATCGTTTAAATTTGCTATTATTCATAAAATTCATTAATATTTATGAACTGCAAGTCAAATAAATGTCATTTTTATCCCTAGTAAATATTTTTTTAAATTGGGGTCGGATCGACTTTAGATATGGCATTGGGCCAGAACAACATAAAATGGTATGACTTGGGGCTGATTCGAAAGCTTAAATTTGCATTCTCGTATGTTTTTTAACATATTAAGGGCCAGTCTTTGTAAGAATCAGGCAAATTCAGACCCAGCCAAACTTAAATTGTTTTAACAGGTCAGGAGGTCCAGTAACAAATATTTTTTACTGGACCTTCATTGCTGTTACAGGACACACTCATTATCACCGGTGAGCAGCGCGAAGCACTGCGAACTTGCTAGGGGGGTCTGGGGGTATGCCCCCTCAGAAAAATTTTGAAAAATTAGATGCAAAATCGTGGCGTGCTGTACTTTGATCATCTGCCTTCCGTTTTTGACCAGCCACGGCCCATCATAAAAACGGAGGAAACTCATGTTATTGTTTACAACATGTGTTTCCAGCGCATTTATATTATTGCATTCTGATTGGGTTACTATTTGTGTTGCCCATATATATCTATAAATATGACTAGGGTATTTCCGCGATCCTAATTAATATAAGGACAATTAATTGTTTTTCATTGATCTCAGAAGGAAAACAATATTTTGTGTTTGATATAGCAACACATTTTTCCCAATTTTAATACTGCATGCTGCAAAAAATGTACAGGATAGGAGGTCCTGTAGTTCACAGGATGGTGGCGGACCTTCAAGTTTTTACAGGTCATGACCCGCGGTCCGACGATGTTTGGGTTGGACTTTATTTAGAAAAAAAATTAAAACATGGCAGAAAAAAAACCCACCTACCTAACCACCCTATTTTGAAGGTATCCTCATCCTGAGTTAGAAATGGTAGGTCATTCGTTTCTGTGTGTATGGTAATTCGAGAAATATCTAGATGAAGTTTCGCTAGAATGATAGCAAATTACAGAGTTATCTCTCCTTAATTGTTCATTTCTAGTGCATTTCAACCAAATTATATCTTGAATTACCAGAACAGGGAAAGGAAACGAATGTTATATTCATGCACCATTATACATTCTGAACCTAAATTAATGTAAAGCTGAGTGGGTTTTTGTTCGTCATGTTTTCACCACTGCCAGCTGATTCTTAGGCAGATTGGCACTTAAATATTTCATGTATTTCAAAAAATATAATTGTGACAATGAATAATTTTAATACTTCTAAGATCATGATAGTGATTCATTTGAAGGTACAATAAAACATATAAACATGACATCTACAGTTATTTCAGCTATCAGCAATGATTGCAGAACAACAAAAGAACAAACTAAAAAATCAGTTGAAAAGTGCTTTAAAACTCTTCAGATGTAGACAGGGCACAAAAACAACAACAAAAATGTAACATGACTAACAAATGCACTTAAGACATAAAGTACAGATCTGAGAGAATTCAGTTTCTGACAGCTAGCTATAGTTCTAAGCCAATGACAACTACATGTAATAAAAAAATCATGTATCTAAGATTGAAATATAAATCAGTACACATCCAACTGTTAAACATCTAATGTATTTAGTGTAAAGACTACGTTAATTGACAGAGAAAAATATGATCTTGCACAATGTGTTATTGCGATATTTGAAGAATTGACAAAAATGGAAAATTAATTATTGTGATTTCAGAAAAATCTGCAGACATATTTATGTATCAAATATCAGAATGCAAGTTCTTATTATTGCGATACTAAACATGTAATCCAGTCACATTATTCACATCAATAAAAACATCACAATAATTTTTGAATTTACAGTAAGTAATTTGTGGTAAGGAAATCTTAATTTACCAGTAATGCATTAAGACTATTTTACCCTCTAGAAGTCTTATTACACAAGTTTGGTTGTTTTAAATTGCCAAACTGCCTTTTTCATTAAAGTGTAGCCCAGATGTTTACTTCATACATTTTATATATTCATATAATTATGATTTGTACAAATTAGAACCAATTTTATTTTAGGATAACTGTAGGGAGGATGGACGTGGATATGAGGATTATAGACACATGACACTGGAAACTGGCGTTGTATCAAACACAAGTGGATCCTCAAGAGTTAGACTGGTTTGTTTTACAAATATGAAAATAAGAAGATGTGGTATGATTGCCAATGAGACAACTCTCCACAAGAGACCAAATGACACAAAAATTAACAACTATAGATTGACGTACGACCTTCAACAATGAGTAAAACTCAAACCAGATAGTCAGCTATAAAAGGCCCCGAAATGACAAATGTAAAATAATTCAAACGAGAAAACTAACGGCCTGATTTATGTTCAAAATAATGAACGAAAAACAAATATGATATACAGAAACAAACGACAACCACTGAATTACAGGCTCCTGACTTGGGACAGGCACATACAGAATGTGGCAGGATTAATCTAGTTTGATGGTGCCAACCCTCCCCTAACCTGGGACAGTGGTGTAACAGTACAACATAAGAACAACGTACACAAAGTACACCAAAAAAAGTACAGTGGCATTAAGCTATTTAATTGTTATATCCAAAAGTATAAATCAATACCCTTGATTTGTTACAGAATAATATATTGTGGATCTAAAAAGATTTGACCTGCTAAAATTAAGTTTGACCTAGAGTAATAATCAACATAATTATGTTTTGAAATGGTAGATATGATATATTATATCAATTTTGATCCCCATTTTAAAAAGATTAGCTCACAAAATTATGTTAACTGTTTAAAATGAATGTATCAGCCATGACCCAAAGCTTTTTTGCTGCTCTCACAAATAGCTTCATACTATGACTTGAAGCATATAGTTTATGAATATTTACTTAATAATCTTTAGATCTTTGTTATAATCTTTTTGTACAACCTCTTGAATTAAATTTCTTATATGTTGCTTTTAACAAAACTTTCATAATTTTTCCTTATTTTAGCAGAACAAGAGAACATGTTTAAAAATATCACTGCCAAAAATTGGTATCAGTCATTTAATTCATATTATATATGCCTTTATAATGCTCAAAATCATAAAGCTTGGGCTGAAAACTTGTTAGCAAGATTCTTATCTAACATGTTGTAGCGCCGATCGGAATTGTTATGAACTTTTGTTCAATGAAAATAGAATTCTTTTCAAGTAAATGAATGTTTTATTTAATTATATTAATATTCAAGTTTCAAAGGTGTGTAAAATAATAATTAATGCAATGTATGTGCAAAATATACCCGAATACAATAAAATCTTTAGACTGTAATATTATGAACTGCTCTGGTGAACGTCAGATTTCAAACTGAAAAACTGTCAGACTCTTTTTAGCATCTTGTGCTAAAAATAACTACACGATTACATAGTCCCTATTTCCGGTCAACATGTAAACAGATAACGAAGACATTTAAGGACAAGTTAATGACTATTGTATCAAAAGCATATATAATAAATATCTGGGAAGGTAATTAATTGCATGTTAAACATATAATAACGTTTAAAAACATAGTTGTCAAGTGAATTTATACGCAAAACATCTGGGCCGACATGAAGACAATGGGACATGAATGTCATATTTGCGGATAATATATTGCTGAAATTATGAAATAGAATTGAACGGAATAATTGTTCATTATGAAAATAATAGCTTCTAACTTTGCACAACACATGTCTTGAACAGTACTTAAATTTTGGATAAACAGTATATTTTTGTTTACCTTTCAGGCTAATACAGATATATTGGTTGGTATAAAGGCAGAGTTAGGTACACCTGCACCAGATAAAGATGACAAGGGAAGACTGGAGTTTTTTGTTGATTGGTAAATATTTTGAAGAACTAACACAGATTAACTTTGAGAATCTATTAAACAATGTATTGGATTTGTTATATTCAAATATCAAAGTCTAATGACCATATAATTTGAATTAATCATGTTTACTGTTTTGAGAGGTTAATAATCCGTGACAATTGTATGCTCCACTTACAATAGTAGAGGGGCATTATGTTTTCTGGTCTTTGCATCCTTCTGTCCACCTTTAAGTCCATCCTGTATCAGGTTAAAGGTTTTTGGTTAACTTAAGGTAGTTTAACGTGAAGGTGTGGTCACCTCTGATTTTTGAAACTTAGTACACAATTTTTATGTTATATGCAAAATGATGTTTTTGACCCTGATGACAGGGTTCACTGGACATAAAAATATGATAATAGGAAATAAGTACATTCTCAGGTCAAATAGTTTGGTTAGGGAACTTGAAACTTAATTGACATGTTCATTGTGAGGTGAATTTAAGAATTATATGAGCTTGCTTTACGGTTCACTGAACATTGACAAATAGCTTAATTTAAATTCTACAAAAATAATCCATATTAATACAGTAAGTTTATTTATTAAAAGATTTTGAAAAATATTCTCATTCACAGATTTAGCTCCATGATAAGTCATATGTAGAGATTAGAACTGTTTCTAATTTTGTGCTTTACAAAACTGCTTATACTCTGAAATTTTAAAGAGACCAGTCTTCTATCATGATTGAATGATGTGTTAGGAGCCCTGTAAAAGTAGATTTCAAGAACCACATGTCTGTATATTTTTATTTTGATATCTTTCATCAGTTACTAAAAATCACCATAATTCATTATAAAGATCTTACACTAACAGGAGTCAGAACCACCTTTTGTGTATTGTATTTTAACATGTTTAACGTGGTATAATTTTAAAATTCAGCTCAGCAAATGCCACACCAGAATTTGAGGGTCGCGGAGGAGAAGAACTTGCATCAGAGATCAGTAATATGTTAATTAGAGTATATGACTGTCCTGGGTGTGTAGATCTACAGAAGTTATGTATTATACCCAAACAGCAGTGCTGGATATTGTATATTGATATACTGGTAAGTTTTGTCATAGTCAAAGATTATTCTGCACAATTCAAATGCAGATTTCTGCTTTTGGTCATCTAGATTTCTTGATTGTAGATGGTCATTTTCTTTGCTACATCTGTTTTCGCTTTCTTTTTTTTTATTAGCAAAATCATCTTTATAAAATGTTTCATAAAATATCAACAGAATAGTATAATTAATCAGCTATAGCATGCATGCATTTAAAAAATATAAATATGAATTTAGTTATGGTGTTCTTTATTTGTATACACAACAAAGCCTTGATTGCCAAGTAATATATGTATATGTATACACAACAAAGCCTTGATTGCCAAGTAATATATGTATATGTATACACAACAAAGCCTTGATTGCCAAGTAATATATGTATATGTATACACAACAAAGCCTTGATTGCCAACTAATATATGTATCTGGTAAAAATCAAATCATACCATGGTTCAAACCTTGCTGTTATTATGTGCAAACATACAAGGTGCACTTTTTGATGGGTATGTAAAAGATTTTATGACTTACTAACCACAAAATATCCTGTATTACTAAAGCAGAAAATACATGCAAAAACATTGATGCATTGGGTACAAATCAAAGGAAGATGTGATCAGATTTTCTAAAATTGTTGAACTTGTATTATATTCAAAGGCATTAACTTTTTCATATTAATTGCCTTGTACAGAACTTCAACCTGTTTTTCACCATTGAAGAAACATTGATTTCAATGTCAGAATTGTTCAATTAGCTCTTTATAAAAGTAAACAACCCACTAGCAAGAAAATACAGAAGTATTGACAGTTTCACTTCATAGTTTATATAATGTAGGCTGTTTAAATGCATAGGTCGGTCTTGAACATTAAAAATGTTTGTTGATAAAATAAACGTTTTATTTCAGTTGTTAGAGTGTGGAGGTAATCTGTTTGATGCAGCATCAGTTGCAGTTAAGGCAGCAATGTTTGATTTAAAGTTAGTATACATTTTATTCACAAAACTGATTTCATTGTACAATATGTTTGCTTGTTAATCTTCTAGAAGTTTTTCAGGAAATTCTCTTTTATCTTAGTTTTAATCCTTGGAAAAAATGCAAACCAGTAAGATTACAGTTTAGTAAATGTTTTGTCTATTCCTCCATCTATTCATTCATTCATGTGATCATTTATTATAAAAACTTTTTGCATTATTTTTTTTCTTCATCCCCTCCTAAAGAACTAGCTAAACATGACTATGGCATGTCTACAAAAAGGAATGGCAATTTTGTATCTGCCTATACAATTTTATAGATTCTTACTTACATATATACCATTTTGCCCTTTCTGTTTTTTTTTATCTAATGATATTTGTGAGTTTTCGATTCAAAAACTGGAGCTGTGCTATATTTTCAACATTTGGTAGAATCTTGTATCCCTCATCTTGTATCCATGTCTTTTTCGTAATTTTGGAAATTAAAAAAAAAAAATTTCATAGTAATTTTATTACCAAATGGAATTGTTCACCTTCTGCTTTATTTTGGAAATTATAATTTTCCGTAGCAAAACAGGAAAATTGCCATATTCTAATATATAAACCAAATTGTAGAGGAATATGATATAGTAGGCTCTGATTAAAGTATTCCTAGTTTTTCAATTTTGTAAAATCTCAGTATTCCTGATACTTGAGGCAAATAAGATTTTAAGAAAGTGATAAAGTAATATCACATTTGAAGGTACATTTTGACAAATAAAGTGTAAATATTTATTAAATAGAAAAACAGTCATACTGTATTGTGGGATAAAGATAAATTTGTTTTACTGTCCATGCTTACTTTAAAGGATGTATGCTACCTAATAATTCATGCATTGTTTACACCCCAACTCTAGGTATTGGGTTTCTATTACAATCTATTTGTCCGTCTGTCCATTTGTTCTTCCAACACATATTTAGGTCACAATTTTCTCAGAAACTACTAAATAGAATTACTACATATTTGGTCAAGATCGTGACAGTGAGGAGTTGTAATGTGTAAGCCCTTCTTGGGTCTGTCAGATGCCTACATGCTTAGTACAACAATGCATGCATTCTTGTTAGTATTATAATGTAATGACCCATGTGGTTTTAAAGATATTGACTATTAACTAACTGTTACTTTTTTTTTGCTTTCTACAGAATTCCTAGAGTAACTGTAACACAAGATGAAGGCCACGTAGAATTAGAGATTTCAGATGATCCATATGATGTACAGACAGTTGATGTTAAATCATCTCCATGTATTGTAACACTCAGTAAGGTAAGAAGCAAAATTTATCTGATTCTTTGCCATGTAAACTTTCCACTACCCAGCAGATAATCATCAATGCCTGATGAGATTATACTCAAAAAGACATGTTTTTTGCAGTTAATTGAAAGAGAATGTTAAAATATGGCTGCATATCACCTAAAACTAAATGAGAAACTGGTTTTACAACTGTATTGATAGCAATATAATATTGCTGTACTCTAGAAAGCATGGACAATTAGGTTTCAAATGAAAAAAAGTGGTATGTCTCTCTATGCCGTGGTATACCTCCTAATCTATATAAATATTAAGAGTTATGCTTCAAAAGTTTTAAGCCAACTATATGTTAAGCTTTTGAATTACTTCTGTTACAACTAAAACTATAGGTACCATAGTTACAATGTACCTTTACCAAGTGTATTACAGGTGATTAATTCTATTTTCATTTTATCCAAAGCTATACCTACCAATAATATCAGTTAAAGATTTTTTCATTGTATTTCTGATAAAGAACTATAGGGCACTGATCAAGAGGGGTAACTTCTGATCGCCTTCTCTGGATGTCGTTTATGGTACACTGCTGATCAAAATTTATTGCAATACAGTATTTAAGTTAAATTCAAACTTAAGTGATTCATTGCAAGAGTATTGATGAATATATGGATGAATTTTGCTATGAATATTGTTTTGAAGTATTTTAATTTTAAGCCAAAATTTTATATATATAATAGTATCACAATTAGTTCTAAATAAAAATATTATGTTCAGCCAATGTTATCTTTAGTTGTGATCAGAGATAGGTTGCTGTACAGATATTTGAGTTTGGGTGTATTTTTAAAATAGTAATGAGTTGAATGATTTAATTAAATAAAAAAACCAAACTAACTGCAAGAAATAAGGTAAATGTATTAGAACCTATAAAAATACTGTTCTATTGTTCAAGAACTGCATCAAATAAGAGCAGTGAAGTTTCTGTAAAAATAGAAGAAACAAAATACAAAAGATATTTGTGAGGATTTATTACTACATATGCTTTTTTGTCATCATGGACCTTGTAAGTCATCATTTCTGAACATTTTGAAAATAAAATCAGAAATATTGCATAACAAAACAGCATAACCAATAGATCTAAGTAGTTTCAATTCCTTGTCCTATAGTAACAGTCTGATAATATTTATAGATTGGCCATTGCCATGTTGTGGATGCAAGTCAGAAAGAAGAGGCATGTTGTCTAGCAAGGTAATTTAGCTGAAAACAAATATATGTCTGTTTCCTGCCTCCAACCATTTTAAAATAGGTCTGGTCGGTCGGGATTTTATTTTATTCTTTGCATGTTAACAAAATCTGTTTTCTCAGAGTTCAGTCCCGTTTAACACTCGACATGCGTCAATCGTATTACATATTTGAGTGAATAATTTTGTACAAATCAGATTTTGTAGTCAAATAAGAAGGCTCTTAACACTTATTCTTGAAAAATTTATAGCCTTTCCAAAAACTTAAGAATAAGTGTTAAGAGATATAATATTTTAGGGTCGGCAATCAAACATAGGGTCGGTAAAGAGACAAGAAACAAGCATACATTTTTTTGGCCTTATAACTGTGAGAGAAAGAATGAATGTACCTGAGACAATAATCCATTTAAATACTTAAAAAAAATATATATATTATTAGAACAGTTCTTTCATTACTGTTTTTCAATGATTATAACTGGCGCTGTACATAGTAAGTTAAAGATAGTTCACAGAGCTGATAAGTGGTACTCTTTTTTTAAAATATTCAGTGATAACAGCTTCAATATATTTATGTACCATTTAAGATTAGTTATGTACACAAATGTGACAGGAACCCAACAATATAGAAAACCATAAGATTATCAATATAAAGTCTTCATTTATGCCAAAGTCTAAATCATTCTTATTCTAGAAAAATGTGCATAATTTGAAAAGAGAATATACAATATCTGTCATCAATTTATCTTTTTTAAAGAAAATTATGTAAAAATGATAAATAAATAACATATGGAAGAAAGTCTTTCTACAAAAGATATCAATACCATTTCAGGAATTGACATATAGGACGTTATTTTGATGAGGCACTTTTGTCATAGATTTTAATAGCTCACAAAAACTGAGATATATTTCATGTTCAATACATTGTTAAATTTCGTATAGCATATTTTTCTCCATACCATTGATGAAAGTTTGGTTCCAACAATTTAAAATTGCAATTTGGAATCATGATAATGATAATTTGTTTAATTATATTTGTAGATTAATGCTGGGGGTATCAGAACATGGTACAATCACTGGTATGAAAAAGGAAGGATCTGGAAGTCTGGACCCTTCTAGTATTGATGATATGTTAGATGTAAGTATCTACACCAAGGATAAGCATAGTTCTTGATGTTCTACTGAGTATATAACTTTACATCAAACAGGACTTTTATGTTTTGTATCCCCTGTAACACATGCTATGAACCTGGACAAAGTTTTACTTTTCTGTTGATAGTGGTGGCTGTGTCTTGCTTCATTATGTTCATTTTCATCACATGAGATTTTATTTTTTTCTGATTATTCTTATTTAAAGCTTAATTTGTAAACACCGGGACACATTCACCCATATGACACATTGTGACACACAATTTAACTTTTCATTCAAAGAGTAGCATGGGCAATTTCACTACAGCGTAACAATCTTGTATTATTTGGAGACCACAGGTCCTTGGAAGACTCACACATTTTAAGCCACACATTACTCCCTTTAAATGAATCACATTGTTGATTGTTAATGTTGTTGATCAGATAAGCTTAAGAAATATTAAGATTGATTAATTGTTGGTGTTTTAACGCCACTTTTAAGCACCACTTTTGGGCTATTTTGTGGCGGTCAGTTTTTATAGCCCGGAGAAAACCACCGACCTTCGATAGGAAAATGAAATATTAAGAGTTATCCACCTTATATAAGCAGATAGATTACAGGTTAGTCACTTTGGCCTTTGAATTTGCTGCAAAATTTATCGTGTGTCAACAGTTTTACTTTAGTCCTATTAATTGAATTTTTGTTTTCTCATTTGAATAGAATTAAGGGAGATATTTGGTTGTGTGTCATATAGCAACCCAACAACTCAAACAAAAATGCAATATAATTTATGTTAAATTTTGTTCTTATTTTTATACGCCCGTCAAAATTTTGACGGGACGTCTTATGGTATACAAATGTCCGGCGTCTGTCTGTCTGTCCGGCGTCCACACGTTGCACCGTAACTTGAGAACGACTTATCTAAAGTTCATGAAACTTAACATAGTTGTTTCTTATGATGGTCAAACGATCTGTATCATTTTTAGTGAAAATAAGATTAAAACTTTTTGAGTTATGGGACTTTGTAACTAAAACAGGGGTGGTGTTTTTTTCACATGTGGCGCCGTATCTCAAAAAAGATTTATGATTATTGCTTAAAACTTTACACACTTCTTAGTTATATTAATCTAAAGATCTGTATACTTTTTGGTGATGATTCAAATTTTATTTTAGAGTTATTGAGTTTTTTGTAAAAAAAGGGGGGGGGGGTTTCACATGTCGCGCCGTATCTCAAAAATGATTTATGATTATATGATTATTGCTTAAAACTTTACACACTTCTTAATTATATTTATCTAAAGATCTGTATACTTTTTGGTGATGATTCAAAATTTTTGTTTTAGAGTTATTGATTTTTTTATAGAAAAAGGGGGTTTTCACATGTCGCACCGTATTTGAGAAACTATTTATGATTATTGCATAAAACCTCACACACAAGACGACGGGCGTATCATGTAATCGTGGCGCAGCTGTTTATTTTTTCATGAAATAAGCTACTGTTTATAAAAGACTCATTCACATGTTTTATTTAAACAGTTTATATTCTTGTCTTATTTGTTTCACAGACTGGTAAAAGAGTAGGAATATCTTTAAACAAGTCTTTACTGGAGGCATTGGAGGAAGAACAGAGACAGGGAAAAAAGAAAGGTCGTACTGGTTTCCTTCGGTAACAGAAAGTTTAAAATTATATGCCTTCATATTTGAATTGAAAAGCAGAAGGAATTGGAGCCACAATGAAAACAATACAATGCAGTGTCTAATAATGGAAATAATTATTGTTAGATCAGAACTATTAAATATTAACGTATTGTTATCTGGTAACATTTATGAGTGATATGATATTTCGCACAATGTTAGTAGAAGTGTTAAGTCATGAACCATGTCTCATGATGCCTAGAGCTTTGTATTATTGTCAATAAATTTTAAACTTCAGGAGGAAACAAAATCTAACAAATGGTCAATAGATTGTTTCAGGGCTATTCCATTAAAAAGGAGGTACTAGGGTCGGAAGGCAATTTTTAAGTACCCCCATGACCAAGAGGAATGTACCATGTATCTTAACACCAACCAACAGGAAGTCGTTTCATGATAATACAAGAACCAACTGGAATATATCTAGCTTAATTTTTACTGGCCCTTCAAAATTGAGAAGAAATTACCTCTTGGAATTGTAGATATATGTATACTCTATAAAAACATCTACATGAAATATCAACATTTATTAATGATAAAGAAAATTACTGTCACATTTCATTAGATTTTGACATGAAAATTTGTGAACTAAAAGTTATTTTGAGTTTCTGTAAAAAATATTTCATGCTTTTTCTTTCATTTCCATATATCTTTTGGTTTTCAATTCTAGTGTTTATATTTCATCATCATAGATGTATTTTGTCACCTGCCTGGAATTATTTTTTTTATTGTACTTGATCGGCAAACCCGGAATTACCCTTATCCGACCCCGGAATCTGATCCGGTATTGTAATCTTCTTCATTTCCGGTTTATGGCATCCATTGTTTTTCAATGTTGTTTTTGTCAGTCAGATACGATTTTACTAGTATTTACACATTACTTGTTGGCGATTTTCAGTATAAAGCTAGCGGTTGAACAAAATTAGCATCGCTGTCATTAATAATAAAGATAAAAATAAATATATAAATTTTGAGATCGTTTGGAAGTTTTGGTCCCAAATTGAAAATTGGGAAAAACGTAGGGTATTTGCCATTGCCAATAGGAATGGGTCTGGTATTTGGACCCTGTGGAATACTAGAAAAATCCCTGGAGGGGCATACGATCTCAATAGTAATATGGCTTTAAAATGACCATACTGATGGTTAAAAAGGTGGGCAAAGTTAATTTTTATTTTCTTTCAAATCGAAGGTCCTTCTGGCCTAGCTAGTAATCAAAACGAAAGTCCGATTGCAATAGTGGAAGGTCGTGGACCTCGGATAATTTGAACCTCTGAATATTATTTTCATTAGAATTTGACATTGTTCGTCATGTGCTTGTCATTAAAGGGAAGTAACTCTTGCACTTCCGGAACTGGTACCATAGGTAGAATACAACGTTGCGCTTGCCGCTGCGTAAGTCGCGGGAACAGTTATGTTTTCTAAAATATCACGATATGAGCAGGAGACAAAAACAATCGGTTATTTAATTCCTTGTAAAAACAAAAAATAATAAATAACGAAAAATAACACAATGAAACCGACATTCACGAAAACTGACTGTCAAAGAAGACCAACAACCAACAATACTTAGTTTCTCTAAACACCAAGGGCCACTGGCCATAAACGCTTCAACACATCAACAACCAACGGGATTTTTTATAATTGCCGTCCGACCCTGGTACATTCTTTTTAAGGGAATAGCCCTCAACTATAAATGTACATGATTTGATTTTGTATAAAAATGACAGTTAGAACAGTACATGTCAGGCTTATATTTTCTTTCCATCGACTACCATTAGTATTTTAAAGCATGAGGTTTTATGATATAATTTTTGGCTTAAAAAATGGGTTGAACCAGTAAATGAGACAGAAAAAAATTAGGGCACTTAAAAAATGAGAAGTTTATTTAGAACTTCTGAAATCAGATTCCACATAGGCCCAAGTTGCAAGTAGATAAAGGTGAAGTAGAACCCTTACTAAGGTTCCCTTCCCTTTCCTTAAATGTTATAAGTTGTCATCCAATGATTAATAGATCAATCTATCAAGCTTGTAAATCTCACACGCCTACTTTGTTGTTACTTATTTGAATATGCAGGGTCTTTTTGTATTGTTTATTAAGGCCTAATATATCTGTTCTAAAGATAACTATTGATTGAAGTGACTTCCCCATGTAATATGTATATTGAACAGCAAAATGCGATTGTTCTAGTTTACTTGCAGTACACACCGATTACAGCTGCAGTGATCCTTGTTCTTTTAACTAAGGGTATTAAATACAGTTTCAAGGGAGTTAACTCTTGGTGTGACGTTTAGCTCTCAAATTCCTGAGAAAAAACATCCTTTTCTGCTAGATGTCATACGTGTGATGGATTTAACACAGAAACAAACTAGGTCATAGAACACCAAGATGACCTTGTGATTAGTGTAAAAAAACAGTCACATAGAATAACAAATCGGTCTGCTGTGACACATGTGGAATATGTTTTCATATAGACTGCCAAGTCATACCAAATCATATATGCTGTCATGAACAACAGTAACGTAACGTGGCATTGTCTTCAATGTGGCATGCCAAATTTTTCTACTAGCTTCAATACATACACCGTTGAAATATAAATAACTTACCAAAGTCTAATCTCACAAACCAATATTAGTCTAATAGGTAGTCCAGGTGCACCAAAAGCAGCATCCTCACCAATTCCTAAAAAATCTGCAGCTTACGTAACAAAAAAAACAAAAACAGCAAATGAAAAGATAAAAGACCTCTAAAAATATTGAACCTCATCTTTCAATCAATACAAAACAAAAAGACAAAATGCCTAGAATGCTATTTATGATTGATACTGTAAACCTGACATCATCCTCTGCACTGAAACCTGGCTTGATACAAATATATGATCCTACAATTACTTTCCATCAGAGTTGTATAATGTGTTTGGACATGACAGACCACAAAAAAACAGCTAAAGTCAATGTGGGTCCCATTGATATAACAAAAGAGTTCATCAGCTCAGAAATAAAAGCACTACAAACAGATTGTGAAATAGTCTGGGCAGAAATTATGATTACAGGTTGAAGAAATATAGTATTACTATTCTATAGACCTCCATCTGACACGGGTTATACAAACATAGTTTACCATGGATAAACCTGTTCAGCATCAACATAAAATGTTCTAGATATAATAAATAAATCAAACCTACACGAAATTGCCAACACTCCAATAAGAAAAGAACTAATACTTGACCTTATCTGTATCAACAATCCCACTGTCATAAATAAAGTAACAACTCTTATCATCTATTGAGCTAAGTGACCATGGTACTGTCTATCCTGAAGCAAACATATGGCTTAAGAGAATTAGAGAAACACCATGTAAAGTGTACAAGTACAACAAAGCAAACTGGGAATCCATCAAATTAGACCTAGAAAAACAAAACCACACAGAACTGTTAAAAATGTATTCAAGCACAAGTGTAAACAACATTTGGGAACTATTCAAAACAAAACTCATTGAATCAGTGGAACCAAACATACCATGAACACTGCTATCATACAAACAAAGATTACCAGAAATAAATGAAACTCAGAAGACTCATTAACAAGAAAAATAAACTGCAAAAGAAGAGAAAAGATAAAAATTACTAAATACAAACAGCTCAAATCACAAGTACAAAAAAAAGGGTGGAAATACATCGAGAAATTAATATGTGACTTAGGGAAGAGAGGCGAAAGATACCAAAGGGACATTGAAACTCAGAAGTCGAAAATTAACCGACAACGCCATGGCAAAAAAAGAAAAAGACCAAAAGACAAACAATAGAGCACAAATCACATGTACAACATAGAAAACTAAAGACTGAGCAACACGAAACCCCACCAAAAACCGGGGGTGATCTCAGGTGCTCTGGAAGGGTAAGCAGATCAAGTTCCACATGTGGCACCTGTCATGTTGCTCATGTAAGTACAGACCCGGTGATAAGTCTTATCCGGTAAGTCAAATTCGGGAAAAAAAGAATGGGATTGTAGTTACAACAGTTTTTGGTGGGGTTCGTGTTGCTTAGTCTTAAGTTTTCTATGTTGTGTCATCTGTACTATTATTTGTCTGTTTGTCTTTTTATTTTTGGCCATGGCGTTGTCAGTTTGTTTTCGATCTATGAGTTTGACTGTCCCTCTGGTATCTTTCGTCCCTCTTTTGGAACATATTCGTCATCATCTGTGAAGCAGATATTCCATAACAGTCAACCAACTCGTGATGGCGTACGTAAAATTTACAAAGGGATGATTTCAATTTCATTACTAGGAAATCTTGGTTTAATAGCTTCCTTGTGAGCAGCAACCCTCTATCAAGTAAATAACAATAGGAAATACAAGCCCTGGAATATCGTATACGTATCAACTGGGATATATATACTCCATATGCAGGCGCTGCTAGAATGTTTCTACATAGAAATGGAAATTTCATAATTGTCGTAAAGATTTGTTCTCAAACGACCCTCATTGTCAATTTCTAGAATAAGTCAAGACACGAGGCAGCCTCCACTGTATCTGCTGTATCCTTTATCTCTAGTTCGATGAGATACTTGCGTTCAACATAGTCACCTTGAACTTTGAATCATTTAGTGAGAGGACATCATCTATATAGCGGAAAGTGAAGTTAAAGGATAATGCTACCCTCTTTTCTTTCTTCCTTAGAAGCTCCTGTATGAAGTCAGCCTCATGAATAAAGGAAAAAGTCGACAAGAAGAGGAGCACAGTTGGTTCCCATGAGAATGCCGATTGTTTGTTGAAAAAACACGCCCTCCAAACGTAAAAGATATGTTGTCAATCAAGAAATCAAGCATCTTGATAATGTCAGTTTTAGAGAAGTTTTGTTTGAATCAGAGTGACGTTTTACAAAATACGAGTTATCCCTCCCTATATATATAGCTAAGACAAGATACTTGTATCTACGTTGACCATTCTATTTTACGAAACAAAGCAGGACCAACTCTTTCAATTTGTCTTTTACTTTGGAATGAGGAATACTTGTGTAAAGTGTAAATGTTTTAATACTATTGCAAGATGAAAGAGTCTTAGATTGTATATACTCTAACAGATCTTTGGAATATTTTAGTATCCACATCTGATTCACACCACCTCTAGAATAGGTAGTTTCACAACAACTTAAAAGCCAGGCTTTGATTGCTGATAGAATTGATGTTGATAATTTAGAAAGAGGTTTCGTGGAGCAATTGGAAGACCCAACAATATAACGTTGTTTGTTAAGTAATTTAGGTATCAAATGCAGTGAAGGAATATCCAGTTATTCATCTTTGGTTGAAATTCCAAACAAACATAGAAACAGACCTATGATTATCCAAGATGTCCTCCTTGGTAAGTGTCGAAGGGGTATATGTTGAGTTTCCAAGTAAATTGTCAATACCTAATTCATTTATCAAGCAGTGATTTACACACAGAAACGATGTTGGTTAGGGCTTTATCTGCGAGGACAACAACATATTTGTCATGGATGAAGGACAGGTGTTTTGCAACAGTTGGGTCTATAAAGATTGATGTAGCATGTGTATCCATAGATCAATTCAGTTTTATTATTCTGATTGTATCAACGACCTCACATGCTTAATCCATTCGGAAAGAGTATTTACGCCTTCTTTCTCGCGTGTAACCCATTACCTGGCATAATCCTCGACTGAATCCACCAGTACTTTAAAGTGGTGTTTCCAATAGATGGATTTAGGCTCACGGTATTTCGGGCCTTTGGAAAACAAATTTCGCAGAAAAATGTTATTGACAATGTTTATGTCACCATTAATAACGTGGCCAGTCGGATTATATATGAGTAGGGAACTAGTACAGGTGCAATCAGGAGGTTTCAACTTGATGTCGTCAATATTGAGATCCTACAACACGTGTTTGTGATTGAAAATTTTAGTTGCAATTGGTTTGGTATAGGTATAAGAAATGATAGGTACAGACTGATCTTTAAAATAGGGAGGTATTTTCAAGTGAACTGATTTATGATGAAGGATATTGCGCAAGTTGATGGCATCGAGACCTTTGTTGGCAAAGGAAAAATTTAGAGAGGATCTGTTCTCCTATTCATCTTTTCCAATGCGAACTGGTTTGAAAAGTTTGTGACTGGCAATATCCGATATGAAAGCTGCAAGTTTGTATTGGTTTGAATAGGGTTTTGTAGCAGTGGTTTCCAAACATATGGTGTACAGAGATTATTACAGGATTAAAAATCTCAACACCTGACATAACAAAACTCTCATCCAAATATTACAGGATTAAACATCTCAACACCTGATATAACAAAACTCCTTAACTACATATAAACCCTCATAAAGCCACCGGCCCAGACAATATCAGCGGCCATATCTTAAAAGAAACGCAAGAACATATAGCGCCAATTCTAACAATCATATTTAAAATATCACTCGAAACTAGACAAACACCACAGAATTGGAAGCATGCCAATGTTGCAATGTCTTCAAAAAGGGCGACGAACGCAAAGCTGTCATCTTCAGCCATTTTCATTGACTTGCATCTGCTGCAAGTTAAGGGAACATTTTGTCATGTTACACATAATTAACCATCCTGTACAATCTCCAACAGCTAGCGCTTTAGACACTTTCGATCATGCGAAACACAATTACTATCATTTATTCAAAAACTATTAGCTGCAATGTGGACTTACATTAAATTGGATCTATGCATTCCTTTCAAACCGCACTCAAATATTTGTCATGGATT